AATAATAAAGAGGGAATATGCAGGGAAGGGCATTTGGGGGTGATTGGGCTGTCAGGGGATGGCAGTTGGGGATGATCAGGCCAGCAGGAGAGCAGTTAGGTGTTGATCAGGTTGGCAGGGGAGTGGTTAGGGGGTAATCATGTGGCGGGCAGAAGCAGTTAGGGACAATCAGGCAGGCAGGCAAGCAGTTGTGAGCCAGCAGTCCAGGATTGTGAGAGGATGTCGTATTTAGTCCCAGCAGTCAAACATCCTTCGAGGGGTCCCAGATTGGAGAGGGTGCAGGTTGGGCTGAGGGATGCACACCCTGTGCACAAATTTTGTGCACTGGGCCTCTAGTATGCATATAAGTTCTTTAGTTGATCTCTTCCCTCACCCTTCCCCCCTCTCCCTTGAAGATCCTCAGTCTGTTGCATGATTCCATGTCTCTGTATCTATTTTGTTAGTTTATTTTGTTCATTAGCTGCCATATTTGAGTGAGGTCACATGGTACTTGTCTTTCTCTGATTTATTTCACTTAGTATAATACTCTCTTGGTCTCTCCATGCTTTCTCAAAGGGTAAGATATCCTTTTTTACAGCTGCATAATATTTCATCGTGTAAATATACCACAGGGTTTTTGTTTGTTTGTTTTTTTTTGTTTTTAATCCATTTTATGCTCTTGCCTCCTTAATCAAATATTAATTGAGCAAATGGCTTGGGCCAATTTCTGGGTTCTCTGTTTTTCTGACACATTTTAGAGAAGAACCTTGTAACTTGAAAAAGTATTTTGCTTCCATCCTTTAGAATAGAGTTGGTTCTAGAATGAAAACTGTAGTGTAAGCAACTAAACATAATTCAAAGTGGTTTACTTTTTCTTTTCTTTTTTATTGTTAGAAATTAGTGGAACCAATTAGAGATGATCTTAGCATCTAGTTCAGATGTTAATACTAGGGAGTTCACAGAGATTGGTTTGGAGGTTTTGAATTCCTGAAATTATATGCAAAATCGTGTATGTACATTTTTGGAGGAGAGCATTGATAAAACTTTGTTACATTTTTAAAAAGATTAGGGCTAATTGAGGTTATAATACATTAATGGAGTCTAAGGTCATAAGTGCTGAAAAAGGTCCAGAAAAAGAATTCTTCAAAGCACACAGCTAAGTAACAGTAGACCTAGGGCTGCTGCCGTCTTTTCTGTGTCCTGGGGCTTGGGCATTCTCTTTAACACAAGAACAGTGGTTTTTCACTGTCTAAAGTAGGGGTGTCGAACTCAATCAGAGAAGGGGCCAAAATCTAAAATCAAGCCTAAATCGCGGGCCGAATGGTTTACTGAACAGTCATAAACTGTCATTGTGATGGAAACGCAGCGGAGTGCAGTGATGACAGCGTGGTGCGGGCCACATTGCAAGGCCTGGCGGGACGGATTTGGCCCGCGGGCCTTGTGTTTGACACATGTGGTCTAAAGCAAGGGGTGAGGAACATTTTTTTTTTTTTTTTTTTTTGCCAAGGGCCAGCTGGAAATTTATAACATCATTTGAGGGCCATACAAAGTTACCAACTTAAAAATTGACCAGTTATATTTGGTCAAACATCTCATTAACTCATCCCTAATGCCTTGGCAGGGCTAGACCAAATGATTTCATGGGCCTTATATAACCGGCCAGATATTCCCCACCCCGGGTCTAAAGAAAAACTATGAAATTATATACCAGTTCAATTGGATTCAAAAGGAATACACTTCTTGCAAAACCTCCTGTTCTCTTTTCCAAACACAGGATGTAAGAAGCCATTTAATCCTATTCTTGAACAACTACAGTTGCTAAGAAACAACCAACTATTCAGAGTTAATTAACACTAAAATAGGATTTTTAGTTTTGCTTTTAAATTAAATTGCAAACTTTTCACATTTAAGCAATGCTTCTATTTATTCATTCTTTCAATAGATATTTATTGAGTGTCTTGCTTTGTTTTGCTAAAGAAAAACAGCCAGTTTTTCTTTTTTGGGGGTGCCAGGGGTAGTGACAAAGTGGATATACTGGGCTAAAAGGAGACAGTGGAGAAAAATCAGCCCTGTTAGAAATATCATGTGTCTAATATTCCTGCCCAATTATCCTCCTTTCTCAGTGTAATAGGTAGCAAGTCTGTTAAATTTTAGGACTTCAGCGGTTGCATGTACTGTATTCCCAGAAGACTTTGGGTTTTGCACATAAAGCCAGGAGAAGCTGAGAGAGTGGGCTGTTTCACCTGGACACTGGCCAATAGTCTACCATGACGTAAATTTGCTTCACCTGCTTCATGGGACTAATCCAAGTGAAATATGAGGAGTTTGCTCTTGAGGCTTTTAGAACAAGCATGTCAAACTCATGGCCTAAAAAGTAAAACAATATTTGTGGCCTGGTCTGTGTGGCTCAGTGGTTGAGTTTCGACCTAAGAACCAGGAGATCACTATTTGATTCCTGGTCAGGGCACGTGCCCCGGTTGTGGGCTTGATGTTTCTCTCTCTCTCCCTCTCCCTCCCTTTCTCTCTGAAATCAATAAAATATATATTTTAAGAAAAGATTAGGGCTTAATTGACATTATAATACATTAATGGAGTCTAAGGTCATAAATGCTGAAGTAGGTCCAGAAAAGGAACTCTTCCTTGTCACTGTCCTCAACAAAACCTTTGGATGTCTATCTTCATCTCTGGAGCTTGCTCAAGGTGCTCTGTGTGTCACTCCTGCTGTCTTCCCAGGTGGTTTTAACTTGCTACATTGGCCTCTCCCATTCTTAGCCTCCTTACTACCTTATCATCAGTGTTCAACTCCCTAACTCCTTCACAGCTACAGTGGTCCTTCTTACCCTCATAGCCAAAATTCTGATTTTCTTAAAAAAAAAAAAAAAAAAAAAGTTCCAAAATAGAGGACCAAAAATCTGGTATAAAGTTTTTACAAAAATAAAATCCCTTGCTGATGTTTTATTTGATGTCTAGGCTGTTGTAGTGATTAAGAATTGTGTTCAACTTCATATAACTTAAAACAATAGTGGCTTAAACAAGACATTTATTTCTCAAAAGAAATCTGGAGGTAGGCCAATCTAGTGCTGGTATAGCGAGTCAGTCCATAGTCATTGGGACCCAAACCTGTTCTTTATTTCCAATCCTATATTTGCATGACTTATTCTTTGATATCATCCCACATAGGCCAAGATAGGTGCACAGCTATTTTGACTCCAGCCATCAGATCTGTAATCTCAGCATTGGGTTTGGGGAAAGGGTGGAGGACCAGGAGGCCTTCCAGCTAAGCAAGCTCCTTTGTCTACACAGCTTTCCTCAATCTCTTATAATAGTTCTTACTTACATCGTATTAGCCAGCCTCTGGTCACCTGGCCACCTCTCCCTGCAAGGGGAAAGCCAGGAAATGTAGTCTTTTAGGGAGGCCTGTTGCTGCCCCAGGTTAAGTCAGGGTTCTGTTATTAAGGAAGAAAATGAAGGGAATCAATATTGAGTGTCACTTAGCAATGTGTGCCACAGTAGCTAGTCAACGACCTCTCCCTTGAAGACATGGGAAATCCACTAGAACAGTGGTCGGCAAACTCATTAGTCAACAGAGCCAAATATCAACAGTAACACGATTGAAATTTCTTTTGAGAGCCAAATTTTTTATACTTAAACTATATAGGTAGGTACATTGTTATTTACTTAATTAGGGTACTCTTAAGCTGACCTTTGCTAAAAACTCAAGGGGCCAAAGAGCTGCATGTGGCTCTCGAGCCACAGTTTGCCGACCACTGCACTAGAGTCTAAGTTCCACTATATCACCAGTCCCAACCACCTATCTGCCTTGTAGGGGCTCAGTAAACAATGGGTGAAAGATTTAATTTAATCATGATTATTATTTTTCTCATCACAGGTACCTATAAACAGATACAGTACATATATCGATAGAATACATCAAGCACTTGAATAGTGGAATAGTTCATTAATAGTGGAATATTAATTAATAAACTTTTTAGTTATTAAAAAGCTTCAGGGAAATTGCCAAACTCGGTTTCTTTTTTAAATAGTAATTATAGTTAATGTTTATTGAGAGCATAGTGTTTTGTTTTTAATCCTCACCTGGGGGCATCAGAGAACACGTTTAGAGAGAGAAGGGTGGGGGGGGCGTTTAGGGAAGGAGAAGAGAGAAAGGAAGAAAGAGAGAAAACCATATAATTTGCCCCAATCTGTGGATCAACCCTGCAACCCATGTATGTGCCCTGACCTGGAATCAAACCAGCAGCCTTTCCATGCCCAGGACAATGCTCAACCAAGTGAGCCACAGGGCCTAACTGTTCCTTCTTAGACTCACAAGTTATCTTCCTAAATTTTGACACTTTGTGTAGCCTTGCTACTTAAACTACAAGGGGCTGGCTAGAAAGGGCAGAGTCTGAAGCTCCTCTCCATATCTACAACATGCCCAGTTTAAACAACATGTTTAAACAATATGCCCAGGTAGTGCAAATGAGCATTAAAATTTGGGGAGCTTTATTGTGCTTTAAAAAAATACACTGAACCACAGGTTTCCCTGCACTTGAACTTTTTTTTCTGCACTGGAATTAAGATAGGGTGTGTGTGTGTGTGTGTGTGTGCGCGCGTGTGCGTGTGTGTGTGTGTGTGTGTGTGCGCGTGTGCGTGTGTGTGTGAGTGGTGTGTGTGTGTGTGTGTGTGTGTGTGTGTGCGTGCGTGTGCGTGTACGTGAGCGTGCGTGCGTGTGTGATGTACCAGTGCTTCCCATCAGCTGGTTGGGATGATTTCAACCTGCAGGAAAAATGCCCACTAGGGGCTGGTTCTATTTGCAGATAACTGAGACGAGAACATCAAATTGTACTTGTCTTAAAAGTTATAATTACTAAAAGGGACTCTTACATAGGATGCCGGTTGGAGACTGGAGTGTCCAGCGCAATTGCTCAACACACATCCGTCTCTGTTGCCCTGGGCAACGCCCCCAGCCTGACAGCTGGGAGCGGGCTGGGGCTGGAAGCCAGCTGAAGAGTTGCTGCAGTGCCCTCAGGTGACTTTAACCCTGCTGCCTTGAAAATCAAGCAGCTAATTGCCTAGCAGGGATTAAGGCAGTTGTGAGAGCTGTTTGTCTGGTTGAGAGGTTTTAGCTCGGGAGCTAGAATTTTTTGACTCAGAAGTAAAAATTCTGGATTCTTTGTCTCCTTTCTGAATAAATGGCTGGACAGAAGAGTTTTGCAGGTTTTGACAGAGCTCAACAAAATAATTATTACTGGTACTGGCAAAGGTGAGGTGTTTCTGAGTGAAAATGAAGGTTCTATTTTTGTACATATTTGGGGGGCAATTTACAAACGATTGCTTTGAAATTGGTGTTCTTAAACAGCAAAAGCAGAAGTCATACTTGTAACTTTTGAGAAAGGAGAAAGCTCTGTGGTTTTGGACAACTCTGCCTTGGTTGGTGATGCAATTTTTGTTGTCTCCCCTCCACTATTAGAGTGAACCCCACGTTCCAGTTCCACCAGAGGGACCCCTTTGGCAACGGGCATGAGCAGCAGCACAGCTGTTGTCTGCTTTCTGGCCACGGCTGCGGTCCTGCAGTGGATGGAAATGAGCACCCCCTTTCTGTGTGTGGGACCTCTGGACACCCGGCTGGAACTCCCACTACACCCAAGGTATCACTCTCTGAACGCATCCTGTGTGTGAAACATCTTTTCCTGCCTTCACACCTCCACAGCCTGCCACTCACTTTCCTACAGTGGTGGCTTTTGCTCCCTATTTTATTACCAGAGAGCAACAACTGGTGACTCCAGAAATTTTGACTTGCCAACTATGTAAATCCTCTCTCTCTTCCAAAAACAAAATAATAGGCTGATGGAGTCTTGCTCCTAATTTATTGTTACTAAATTTTAGATTATTATCTTCCAATAGATTTTACTCTTAAACACTTAAAATGGGACAGGAGGTAGGGTTTTGTTTGTTTGTTTTTTGTATTGTTTTGATACAGCAGTAAACATTAACACACTTTTAAAAAGATACCTTAATATTTTGATTAATCAAGTAACTCAGGTAACCTGTATCTGAAAGCCTCCCCCCACTCCCACTTCCTCTTCCCCTCCCCACTTCCAAGAGAACACTGTTGAAGCTGATCTTGTCCTCTAGACTTTTCCCGGGCCTCTTGCTGACTCAGTGTGATGGGGCTTTGTTTCTGTTGGGGGAGTTGGGAGCACCTTGGGCAGAGATGGACCGTGTGGTATATGATTGTTTGTTTCTTGCTTGCTTCTGCTTATAGATTGCATCTGGAGAGCTTTCTTTAAAGTGCCCATTAGAATGTGCTGTGAGGTTAGCTCACCCCTATTGACTAACATTTCTCAGTGCCTTAACAAGCTTCCTTTTACTTGTTTATCTTCAGGCATTTGAGTGTTGTTATTCTTTGGCTAAGAAAAAATTCTGGAAGCGGAAGGTCTGGATTAAAGGATGTATCAGTTGAGATTTTAAACAGCAGCTTACCAGAATGCTGCCTGAGCTTGCACTTTCCATTATTGTTTGTAGGTGTGCTTGCTTCTGTTTTTTGTTATTGTTTGTTTTTCTATGCGATTAGCCAATTGGACAAGTGAGGAAGGCTTTTGCCTATTAATTGAGAGCAAATATTTTTTCAGGTGTTTATTGGTACCCGTTTCTGACTTAGTTGACTTTTTTGCCTACCTTCTGTTGTGTTCCCCTTTTTCTTGGTATTTACATATTAGGGAAATTAGCCCTTTGCAGTCAAAGTGTCACAGGTTTTTCTCCCTGGTTTGTTTCCTTACTTTGTGTGATGGCCTTGGCCTTAACACCAGAGTTGAATTGAACAGCTAAGCCCTGTTTTTAAAACTTGTATTCGCTTGGCAATTTTTTTTGCCCAAATTTTCATTTTCTGTTTTAGGTGAGCCTCTTAGAGAAAATATCTTGTTAGACTTCCACTATTTTTTTCTTTTAAACTCTACCTGGGTTGTACCCTTTTAGCAGACGCTTCATTCTCCTCCTATATAATAAAAGGATAATATGCAAATCGACCCAACAGCTGTTCTACCGGTTGCTGTGATGCGCACTGACCACCAGGGGGCAGACGCTTGGCTCAGGAGCTGCCCCTGGTGGTCAGTGTGCTCCTATAGGAGGGGTGCTGCTCAGCCAGAGGCCCTGAGCCGGGCTCATGGCTGTTGAGCACAGCAGTGGTGGTGGGAGCCTCTCCTCCTGCCTCTGTGACAGCACTAAGGACCCCTGGGGGTTGTCTGACAGCCAGCAGGCGGACATCCCACAAGGGGTCCCAGACTATAAGAAGGCGTGGGCCAGAAGAACCCCCTTCCCCTCTCTTCTCCCCCCAGTACCAAATGTGGTGCAACTGGCCTCTAGTATTTTATATATATATATTTATTTATTTATTTAAAATTTTTGTTACATTGCCTGAGGTTTTAGTACACCTCTCTCTCTCTCTCTCTCTCTCTCTCTCTCTCTCTCTCTCTCTCTCTCTCTCTCTTCTTTCTTTCTTTCTTTCTTTCTTTCTTTCTTTCTTTCTCTCTTTCTTTCTTTCTTTCTGAGAGATAGATGGTCTATCCAACTTCTAGTGTAGGGGTGTCGAACTCAATCAGAGAAGGGGCCAAAATCTAAAATCCAGCCTAAATCGCTGGCCGAATGGTTTACTGAACAGTCATAAACTGTCATTGTGATGGAAACGCAGCGGAGTGCAGTGATGACAGCGCGGTGCGGGCCACATTGCAAGGCCTAATGGGACGGATTTGGCCCGCGGGCCTTGTGTTTGACACATGTGTTCTAGTGGCTACCTTTAGATCTTTAAATAGAGAAGTATCAGTTTGAGTATAATACCAACTCCAGAAATGAAACTATTTCTTCCTCTCCACTCATGAATAAATAAGAAATTAACACTTTTTTTCTCTCCTTGCCATCCCTTTTCTTCTTTCTTCTCCCCATTTGTGTTGACACATTTTGATTTTTAAAAAAAATATATATTTTTATTTATTTATTTATTTATTTATTTATTTATTTATTTATTTATTTTACAGAGAGAAAGAGAGAGGGATAGAGAGTTAGAAACAGATGAGAGAGAAACATCGATCAGCTGCCTCTTGCACACCCCCTACTGGGAATGTGCCTGTAACCAAGGTACATGCCCTTAACAGGAATCGAACCTGAGACCCTTCAGTTCGCAGGCTGACGCTCTATCCACTGACCCAAACCTGTTTTGGCCATTTTAATTTTTTTAATGTTTCATTCTCTAGTCAGATTTTTATTATAACATGCAATTTTTTCTTCAAGAATTATATATACATTCTCTTTAATGGCTGTGGTTACCATACTTGTGCCACCTGCCTGCTCTCTGGGTGGGAGTTCCCGGTTAGGAAAGTTGATGGGAGTTTTGGTCAGCAAAACTCAAGACCATAAAGCTCTCCAGTGAGTCTTTCACTCACACATCTTCACTTGAGTCTTCCCAATAAGGTGCACCCTCTATGAGATGTCATAGGTTTATTGCCCACTTCCCCCCTGTCATAGGTTTCCACCCACATCCAAAGCCCTAGCCCTTGTCTCCCCAAATTAAGGGTTTAGCCCACATGTGTCAAACACAAGGCCCGCGGGCCAAATCCGTCACGCCAGGCCTTGCAATGTGGCCCGCACCGCGCTGTCATCACTGCACTCCGCTGTGTTTCCATCACAATGACAGTTTATGACTGTTCAGTAAACCATTCGGCCCGCGATTTAGGCTGGATTTTAGATTTTGGCCCCTTCTCTGATTGAGTTCGACACCCCTAGTTTAGCCCCTCCATTTTGGCATTGTGTCCTGCTTAAGTTTACAGGAACTGGATGTCTTCCAAATGATTCTCAGGTCTTTGGGTGTCTGTCAGCACAACTTGCCCAAACTACCTCTAATGGAGGAAAACCATTTATAGATGTGCCCTTCTTTAAGGACAACCAGCAGCATACACTCTCCACGTGAATCTCATTCTGTAATGCTCTGTCCCCAGACAGCTCCTGCTCCCTACGACCCTCCTAATTTAGGATCCACATTTACCAGAGTACACATTGAAAAGGAGGAAATGTGAGGTTACTTGGACATTGTATTAAAAGGTCTCATCGTTCTGGCCAGTTTTGCCCAATGGTTAGAATGCTGGCCCACAGACCTAAGGGTCAAGGGCACATACCTTGGTTGCATGTTCCCCAGCCCTAGTAGGGGATTGTGCAAGAGGCAACCAATCAATGTGCCTTTCTCATGCCAATGTTTCTCTCCCCACTCCCCACCTTCCACTTTCTCTAGAAATCAATGGAAAAGGTGAGGATTAAAAAAACACACACAAAAAAAAGAAAGCTTCATTTAAGCACAGATTCTGGCTTCTGAGTCATTTTTAAATGGAAAAAAAAATACATCAGTGGTGTGATTAAACTTACGGTAACCATATAATTTATTTTGCAAATCAGGACCTATTTCAGAGCAAAAGGGAGGCATACTTTCAGGTTGGAGAGAAGAGGCAGTGGATCTTCAGCTTTCAATGCAATGTGTCCTTATTCGCAGAGGAGGCATAATTAAAGTCATTAGTGCCTCCAGCTAACTCCGCCTTCCTGGATGGGCTGATTGCTTGGAACAGCTGTGCATCTTTAACAAAAACAGGTTTCCAACAGGTGCCTATTCAGAGGAGTCATAGGAACTTATGCCCCAGTAGAGCAAAGTCATAGGAACTTATGCCCCAGTAGAGCAAAGTATTCCCCAAATAAATCTTGGCTTGGTTAACCAGCCAAGATTTATTTGGGGAATACTTCTGGAATTTCCTTCTCTCCGTATGTAAGGGGATGGTTGATTGGTTTGTTTTTCTGTACCCTCTGCATTTCCTTAAGCACCTACTTCCCAGTCCTCGGCTGAGCCATGGAGTTGGTGGTGTGATTAGAAGGCCGAGGTGAGGATGTACATGTGGAGACTGCAGATTGTCATCTGGAAAGAAGGGCTGAGCTCCAGGCAGAGAGTTAGGCTTCTATCGATAGTGCAGGGACTATGGCGTCTGGGCACCAACATTCCTGGTGTTGGATGCTTATTGCGGGCCCTAGGATGCCAGTTCTCAAAAGCTTCAGAGAGGCAATAGGCCTTAGTTGGGCTTGCTCCTTTTTTGTGGGTTTTCATCTCTTGATATAGTTCACTCATTTCATAATTGTAATATGTCATTTAAAGATTCTTCTCATCAAAGTTCAAAAATAAATTTAACCTAAAGAGAGTTTAGTGTTTTAGATATTATTTGTGAGAGCTAGATTTTTCTAAGAAAGCCTGTGTAATAGTAAACCTTTAAATGAAATTATTTTTTTCTTAAAATACTGATTTTCATTGTAGGAAACCACAGCTCTGGCGGGAAACCAAGATGAAAACCTACTAGAAGGTAACACAAACCTTGTGTTGCACTGCTTAAAACAAAACTAAGAATGGCTAGAAACTGAAAGGCCCTACTGGAAAATGCCAGTGTAGGCTGTCTAAGCCATTTTCTTTAACAGTTCATCTACTTTTTGGAAATTGCCTCTGTGGGAACAGCTGTAGTGAAGCCTCCTCTCTGGGCCTTTCTGAAGGACTGGGAAATGGAGGCATTTCCAAGAAAATAGGATGATAAGTTGATTTTAAGATCTTGTTTCCTCCATAAGTTTAGACTTTGGGGTTAATTATGCTTTGATTTAGATTTTTAAGGAGAAAAACATGAGACACTTGCTGTGACCTTGGCTTCCCAGCTCCCCTTAGGGTTACTGGTTCCTGGAGGACCCAGCAGGCCCCTCTGTAGAGTCAGGTGCTTTTTTCATGTAGTTCTTGATCTATTTTAAAAAGAGCAAAGTATATCTGCCCAGAGAAGAACCCTGTTTCTGAATGTGTCTTATTTGAGGAAAAAAAGAAAACATTTGGCTTTTTTAAAAAGTTATTTGAAAGAGGAATAGAAACAAAATGCAGAGAACACTTTTGCCTGTTTCCTTATCAAATGTCTATCACATGTCCATCTGGTCTTTTCCCCTACCCTCACCTCATCCCTACAATCCACTGCCTTTGTGATTTTACCAAATCTGGTAAAGGACCTAGGACATGACTTTAGGGAAAAAACAAACAAACAAAAAACTTCAGAACATTCAGGGAAAAATAGAAATATCTAACTTTATGACTAGAAGCTCTCAAAGGAAAAATGGTTCCAGGGGATAAAAATTCTAAAGAACAAGTGCCGGGGTCTTTCTGAGCATCTAAAAGGGTTCAGGAATCTGGAGAAGGGACTGCCTATAAATTAATAAATAAATAAAAAACTAGAAATATAAATTTGGATTATGTGGGGGAGCCAGAGGAGACTTGGCTACCAAGTTCTCTCTGTCTCCGGACCCAGGGATTTTTATTCCCACATTTTGGCCTCTAGCAAAGCAGATATACATATCAAAAGGTAATTTGGTGTACAGTACACATTGTCAGGTTGGGGGAACTGCCCTCAGCTGTCTGGCAGCAGGCAATCATATGTATCTTCAGGTTTGGGGAAATGCCTACAGCTGTTCAGCTGTTTGGCCAGCAGCAGGTAATAACATGTAGATTTTCAGGTTTGGGGAAATGCTTTCAGCGATTCCAGCAGACAGTAATATGTATCTTCAGCCCTGCTGAAGCCCCAAGGTTCCGTCAACCTTTTGATGAAACTTCTTGCATTTATGAGATGCTGGAATTAACCTCCAGCAAGCAAGAATCTGACAACACAGTAACAAATGACTCCAGTGCAGAAAAATAAGAAGTAGCTCAAGAAACTTATAAGATGGCAGGGGCTATTGGATGATCTTGGTTCTAAAATGATAAATAAAAAAAGACATTGCATTAGTGAGTTCAAGCTGCTATAACAAAATATTGCAGACTGGGCAGCTTTAACAGCAAATTTATTATTTTTTTTTTTTTGTGTGTGTGTGTGTGTGTGTGTGTGTGGTTCTAGACAGCGAAAAGTCCAAGATTAGGTGCCGCTGATTCAGTTTCTGGTGAGGACTCTCTTCCTGGTTGCAGATGGCCGCCTTCTCATATCCTCATGTGGTAGGGAAGAGAGCTCTAGAACTCTGCTGTCCTTTTTTTTAAGGCACTAAGCCCATGGATCTAGGGTTTTATCCTTATGATCTCATCGCATCCTAATTATCTCCCAAAGACCCCATCTCCAAATAGCATCAAATTGGAAGTTAGAGCTTCCACATGTGAATTTGGGGGGTGGGGAGGCACAAACTGTAACAGGCATATCCTATGTAATAAAAGGCTAATATGCAAATCGACTGAATGGTGGAACTACTGGTCACTATGATGCACACTGACCACCAGGGGGCAGACACTCAACCCAGGAGCTGCCTCCTGATGGTCAGTAGGCTCCCACAAGGTGAGTGCTGCTCAGCCAGAAGCTGGGCTCACAGCTGGTGAGCACAGCAGCAGTGCTGGAGCCTCTCCCGCCTCTATGGTAGTGCTAAGGATGTTCAGCTGAAGGCTGGGCCTAAGCCTTCAGTCAGACATTACCTGAGGGCTCCCAGACTTCGATAGGCACCGGCACTGGGACTCCAGTAAATGAATTTGAGTGAAAAGCATGAACACATGTGAATATTAGGAAGCACATATGGCCCTAAATGAACTAAGGTTTGCAAAAGTTATAAAGGAACACAGAAAAGGCTTCTTCAGTTACATTCAATACGAGGGGGGGGGGGGGGGAATGGACTATATTTAAAAAGTCAGTGATCTTGGAAACCTGGCAACTTGAACTGAACATCTAGGTCTGATGTTTTCATGATAACGCCACATCTCATCACAGGGTTTCAGGTTTCAGAGAAGGAAGGTCAGGCTCCTCTCTTTTTCTAAATTAGTTGTTACATATATATAATTTATTCACATACCAGTCTGTTAACTAAGGTAAAGCGGCATGGTTATTTTTTCAAAGTCCCCGCCGGGACTTGGTTTTGGCTCACTGTTTGGCACCATATCCACCCAAGTGCTCCTGCCAGAAACTCAGGTGGCAACCTCCACCCCCTCTTTCTCCTTTACCCCAAATTGACTCCACCTCCAAATGTTGCCTACTTATCTCCAAAACCTCTCCTGATTCTGTCCATTTCCTCATTTTTCATTCACCATCCAGATGCTCGTCGAGTCTGGTTGCCTACTCCTTTTTGGCTTCAATTTCTATTTTTAAGCCTCATTGAAGGGAAAACACACAATTTAAAAATGTTAACATTAATTGCCTTTAATATTTTCTGTTGATGTTTTTTAAAAACTGTAAACTGTTTCTGATATGTCTTCTCAAACTTTTTTTTTTTTTAATTTCATATGCATTATTGGCTTCCACAGATCCCAATCTTCATTTGAATATTGAGGGATTAAACAAAGAATTTATGGTGAAAAGTGAAGAACTTTACGATTCTCTCATGAATTGCCACTGGCAGCCTCTGGATACAGTTTACTCTAAAATCCCAGATGAGACCCCACAGAAACCAGATGTTCATTAAGCTACCCAATTATTATATTAACTATATCCTGTTTTGTTTTGTTTTTCAAAAAAATTAAATTCTCCCAGGAATATACTGGGTTCTGTATGTAAATACAAATTCCCAAGACTCAAATATGATTAAAATGATAGAACATAATGTAAATAAACTTTACTACTACATCCATTTCTGGAAGTGTGTTATATTAGACTAGTGGCCTGGTACACATATTCATGTACATTGAAAGGAAATTTATTAGAAGAAATATTTTAATATTGCTATTCGCCCTTTCTCTATAATAGAAGTGTCAGAGATGAAAGAAAATTAGTAAAAGTACATGAAAATTATAAATAGTAAATAACATGATATATTGTAATAACAACTACATGATGTAAAAACAAAAACATGACATAAAAACAGCAAAAAGATATAAAAACAACAAAAATATGATATAAAGCCCTAACCAATTTGGCTTGGTGGCTAGAGCATCAGCCTGCCGACTCAAGGGTCATGTACCTTGGTTACAGGCACATACCCACTAGGGAGTGTGCAGGAGGCAGCTAATGTTTCTCTCATGGATATTTCTAACTTTCTATCCCTCTCCCTTCCTCTCTGTAAAAAATCAATAAAAAAATATTTTAAAAAATGATATAAAATCAACATTGATAAAAACAATGAAGAGCTGATTAGACATAATCTAATATCTCCCTGTATATTTAGCCTTTTATAGATATAGAATAAACTTGCTTAATTAGACCTGCTTTCTGATTTAGCTATAAACCTTTTCCAGCCCAGTGAAGCACCCCAACTTCTCTTTCAGGTAATTGTCAGCAACACAGCAGTAAATATCAACATGATGCAGATTATTATTGTAGATCATGCAGGGAGAACAGGGTAAAATATTTAACTGCAGAAGAGTTTGAATACATATAAATCTCTCTTGCTGGTGCCAGTCGCATGCATGTGTTTCAATCTGTCATTATTGATCATAAATTTGGTTGATACTTATAAAGGGCCAAAAGCAATATTAAAATACTAGAGTTCCAGCTGAAACCGGTTTGGCTCAGTGGATAGAGCGTTGGTCTGCGGACTCAAGGGTCCCGGGTTCGATTCCGGCCAAGGGCATGTACATTGGTTGCGGGCACATCCCTGGTGGGTGTGTGCAGGAGGCAGCTGGTCGATGTGTCTCTCTCATCGATGTTTCTAGCTCTCTATCCCTCTCCTTTCCTCTCTGTGAAAAATAAATAAAATATATTTAAAAAAAAATACTAGAGTTCCGATGCATGAAATTTGTGCAAGGGGCGCGGAGGTATCCCTCAGCCCAGCCTGCACCCTCTCCAATCTGGGACCCCTTGAGGGATGTACGACTGCCTGTTTAGGCTCGATCCTGGTGGAGGCCCTGGTATCTGCATTTTTCTTCTACAATTGAAACTTTATAGCCTGGAGCAGAGCCAAGCCTCCTGCTCACTCCGTGGTAGCAGGGGATTTATTTACCTTCTATAATTGAAACTTTTTAAGTGGAGGCCTGGGCTGGTCAGTGTATGTGGAAAGCTTGGCTTCCTATATCGCCTGGGAAATCCAAGCCTCCCTCCTGCTTTCTCTGTGGCCATAGCCATCTTGGCTGAATTAATTTGCATACTTGCTGTGATTGGCTTGTGGGCATGGCTTGTGGGTATAGCAGAGTGATGGTTAATTTGCATAGTGCTCTTATATAGGGTTAAATACTAGTGGACTGGTGCACAGATTCGTGCAGACTGAAAGGAAATAAATTAGAAGAAATCCTATCTAATAAAAGAGTAATATGCTGGAGAGAAACCAAAATGGTAGCATAGATAAACATCTAAACTGCTGCCTCGCACAACAATTTCAAAACTACAACTAAAAGACAAGACGTCTGTCACCTAGACCCACGGGAAAGCTGGGTGAGTGGAAGTTCTACAACTCGAAGGAGAAGTAAAAGAGCATTGAGACGTGCACAAGCGCTGAAAAGCTGAGGTACAGAGGTGCACGAACAGGGCTGGCGGCAGGTGACTGGGTGCACTGCTTTTTCAACCAGAAGGGAGACAAGCTCCTAATTACTCTGAATTTCAGTTTCTGGGGAGACCTTGGGGACCCAAAATCCTATGTGGAGAAGCTGGACTGTCTGCCATTGGGTTGGAATGTGGGGGTGAGTTTCTTGCAAAGGTATGCCCAGCAATTATTGCACTGGAGCACAAGACATTGGGCCTTGGAAATGCAGAGACGGCTGATTGGCAGCCATTGCTGTTTGCCACGCCCTAGCCTAGTGATGCCCTGAAACCCTGCCCCACCAATCTACAAACCCACCCAAGCTCCACGCAGTGGCTTTTGCATCTATTAGGTCTAGTAATAATTAATGTTGTTTTCTAATACTTTTTAAAATCGAATTTATTTAAACAATACAACAAAATTTAATCAACAATATAGTTGCCGTTGTTTTCTACTACTTGTGCCCAATGCTCAGGAAGCATTTTAATCCCTCTGTTGTAAAATTCTTGTGATTTTGATGCAAAAAATTCGGTCAATGCATTTTTGAGGCATTCTTCATTATTAAATTTTTTTCCAAGAAGAAAGTTTTGCAAAGAACGAAACAAATGGTAATCGGAAGGGGCAATATCAGGAGAATATGCAGGTTGAGGGAGAACTTCCCATTCCAACTGGCGCAGTTTTTCAGCAGTGATTCTTGCAGTATGCGGTCGTGCGTTATCGTGGTGAAGAATTACGCCCTTCCGATTAATCAGCGCGGGTTCTTTTTCTCTTAAAGCTTGGGCTAACCTTTCCAATTGGGCACTATACACTGCACTTGTAATGGTTTGGGTAGATGGTAAAAGTTCATAATGAAGGGACCGGTTTGGCTCAATGGATAGAGCATCGGCTTGGGATCCCGGTCAAGGGCATGTACCTTGGTTGCGGGCATATCCCCAGTAGGGGGGTGTGCAAGAGGCAGCTGATCGATGACTCTCTCTCATTGATGTTTCTGGCTCTCTATCTCTCTCCTTTCCTCTCTGTACAAAATCAATAAAATATATTTTAAAAAAAAAAAAAGTTCATAATGAAGAATTCCTTTAAAATTCCACCAAACACACAACATCACTTTTTTCGCATGCAAGTCAGGTTTTGGCGTGGGCTGCGGAGCCTCATTTTTGTCCAACCATTGAGGCCGCCTTTTCAAATTAACATACAGCACCCATTCTTCATCTCTGGTAACAATTTGCTCTAAAAACGGCAAATGGTTTTGACGAGAGAGGAGCGAACTGCAAATTGTGACTCTTTGATTACGGTTGTTGTTGGTCAACTCATGAGGAACCTATTTTCCAAACTTTTGGACTTTGCGAAGTGCACGCAATTGATTGGAAATTGTTTTTTTTTGTGAACAATTTAAAGTTGTCGCAAGCTCTTGTTGGGTAATTTGAGGATTTTGCACCAAAAGAGCTTGAAGAGCTTCTTGATCAAAATTGGACACACGGCCTCGACCACTCTTGTCATCTAACGAAAAATTTCCCTCGCGAAATTTCTCAAACCAATGCTGGCATTTTCTGGCGCTAACTGCATCTTGACCAAGAGCACTACAGATGTTTTTTGCAGCCTCACTTGCTTTTCTTCCTAATTGGAACTCGTAAAGCATGCAGTGCCGAATATGCTCTTCATCCGCCATCTTCTTAGCCCTAGTTTTGCAACAAAAACCAAACCAAACACAAACTTTTTCAAGCAAAACTTGTTAATTGCACTTCACACATTCTGTAGATACCACGTGTTTGAAGGTTATGTCAATACAAGTCAATGCCAAGCAAGATTTTAAACGAATGTTTAAAAACGACATTAATTATTACTAGACCCTTATTGCAGCTTAATCTAACAAACTGAAACTCTGCTCAGACAGCTCCAAAACCTCCAAACCCCAAGAAAAGAGGGGAAAACTGTAGTTCTCACTGTAGCTCCTACTGGTGGCCTCAGACAGTGGCTAACCTGCACCCATTGGAGATCCAGAAGCCAGTGTACCTAGAGGTCTGTGTGAGACAACACCAAATTTCAACTTCTCACATCCATGTGACACATTCAAGAGGCAGACTCAGTGAGCCCCAAAGCCCCATTAATACAAGTCCTGCCCCATAAGTGTGTCTGTCTCCAGCACAGCGGTTCTTCCATTATTGACACAGCAGGTCCTCACAGCCAATTGGACACCAACAACAATCAAGACTTAACTACAACAAGGTGTACACAGTCCACAAAGGGGTGCACCAAGAGTGGCCACCTCAGGTAACTGAGAGGCTGACCCACTGGGCCACATAGGACACCTAGCACACAAAGCCACCCTACCAACTCAGGGAAGCACCAAAAATGGCGAGACAAGGAAACATCGCAAAGGAAAGAAATGGAGGGCAACAAGTGATTGGATATAGAATTCAAAACCACAGTTTCTCAACAATTTCCCAGAAAAGGCTGATAAGTTCAATGAGACTTTCGAGGATATGAAAAAGGATCAACTAGAAATTAAACATACACTGACTGAAATAAAAAAAAAATATTACACAGAGACCCAACAGCAGACTAGAAGAACACAAGAATCAAGTCAAAGATTTGAAATACAAAAAAGCAAAAAACATTCAACCAGTAAAGCAAAAAGAAAGAAGAATCCAAAAAGTTGAAGATAGTGTAAGAAGCCTCTGGGACAACTTTAAGCGTACCAACATCCAAATTATGGGGGTGCCAGAAGAAGAGCGAGAACAAGATACTAAAAACTTATTAGAAGAAATAATGACTGAAAACTTCCCTCACCTGGTGAAAAAAATAGACTTACAAGTCCAGGAAGCACACAGAACCCGAAACAAAAGGAATCTAAAGAGGACCACACCAAGACACATCATAATTAAAATTCCAAGAGCAAAAGACAGAGAATCTTACAAGCAGCAAGAGAAAAACAGTTACCTACCCATATGATTGTCAGCTGATTTCTCAACAGAAACTATGCAGGCCAGACGAGAGTGGCAATAAATATTCAAAGAGACAAATAGCAAGAACCTACAATCAAGATTACTCTGCCCAACAAAGTTATCCTTCAGAATTGAAGGTCAGATAAAAAGCTTCACAGATTAGAAAAAGCTAAAGGAGTATATCACCACCAAACCAGTATTATATGAAATGCTAAATGATATTCTTTTTTTCCCCTA